GAGCTGCGGCCCCCTCCCACCACCACCCCCCTCGTCGGGGGAGGGGGGTAGACACGCTCCCAACACCCAGCCCTTCCCGGAAAGGCTCCTCTCTGGGGGAGGCGGGAGGGCACCGTCGGGGTGTGAAAGTCGTTAGCAGAGTGAGGCACAGGGTGCGCCTGTGGGTGCAAGAGGTGCCTGAGCGTGCACACGGGTGCTGGCCGCGGAAGCCCCCACCCCCCACACACACCTTCTCCAGCAGGCCGGCGTCCTGGGGCACTTCCAGCTCTTTCAGGGCCTCCTCTGCCCCTGACCATTTTTGGGAAGTGGGTGACAGCTGCTCCTACAAAGCCAGGGACAGCTGGGTGGTTGGGGACAGCTGGATGGGGTCAGCGTCTCCCTGCTTCCCTGGCTGCCCAGGCCCCCAGGCCGTACTCCAGGCAGCTGGCTGTTCTGCCTGCAGCCTGAGTGGGTAATTGTCTGGGCTAGGCTTTCAGAGCTGGGACAGGTGTGGGGGCTCAAGCCCATCCCACTGCCACCTGAGTCTCCTATATCCCAATCTGATGGATGCACCTGGAGACAGGATCCCTCCCATCCACTAAAACAAACTAGGGCCAAGTGGGAAAGAAATTGGGCAGCTTTCTGCTCTTGGCTTCCAACTCTTGGCACAGAAGATGTCCCAGGGTTCCTGACAACTAGAGAAAGGGACAGTGAGACAGGAACAGATGTGAGTGGGGCTAGACCTCTATCTGTCCACCACCACCTGCCCCCAGGCATCCTTCCACCCTGGGCGGGAGGGTGCTGTGCTCCAGCCATCTGCCCCCTCTCTTTAGCCCTAAGCAGGTGCAGGGGAAGAGAAGGGGCAGGCCAGCTGTTGTCATCCTGCTCCTGGCTCTCTGCCCAAGTAGAAAGGGGGAGCAATGAAACAAGGGTCCACCCACCCCAGAGTCATTTTCTACTCCCACAGGACAGGACAGAGGTACTTAGCAGGACCAAGACTGGTTTGGCCTGGCCAGCCCAACTGGCCTGACCATGTCCTCCAATCTGGGTCTTTTTTTCTGAGAAGGGGGTGACTAGGGGTCTGTGAGGCTTGGACCCCTGGCACAGGACTTCTACACGGCTTGCTCTAAGCTTCCGGGGCAGGCGGTGCTCAGGCCCTGATTCTACCCCAGAAGCTTCTATATGGAAGGGGACAGGCTGCTTTACAACATAAGCACATCCATGCAGTATTAGGCAACAAACCAGAGATCCTTTTTAGAGGTCAGCTCCCCTGCAAAGGAAAAGGGCCTTTGGTGTGCCCCATCCCCTCCTTCCACCCCAGGGGTCCCTGTGGCACACAGGAGCCTGGACAGTCCCTCATGGCTGCACTCCTGAAACCCCAGGATCTGTCAGAATTCCTGGGGAGTTAAAAGTGCAGATTCCTGGGATCTCAGTCATTCCAACCGAGTCTAAGTGGGGATCTAAGATTCAGCCCTTCAATAAGCTCCCAAGACATGCTAGAGCAGCGGTTCTCAACCTGTGGGTCGCGACCCCTTTGGGGGTCGAACGACCCTTTCACAAGGGTCGCCTAAATACATCCTGCATATCAGATATTTACATTACGATTCATAACAGTAGCAAAATTAGTTATGAAGTAGCAACGAAAATAATGTTATGGTTGGGGGGTCACCACAACATGAGGAACTGTATTAAAGGGTCTCGGCATTAGGAAGGTTGAGAACCACTGTGCTAGAGGCTTGGAGAAGCCCTGCCAAAGGGGATAGAGGCAGAATGTACTTTTCGTGTTGCTACCCTACTTCCATGCCTCCCAGAGCCAAAGATTTTCCTGCCCGCTCTTCTTCCATCCTCAGGGGCAGAGCCCAAGTCACTAAAGGAGGCATGGGGCTGAGTGACCGCACCCTCCCAGTGGGGGCAAGGCCCAGTTAGACTAAATTCCAAGACAGGGTCTTGCTCTGCTTATGCAGTGCCCAGCACTTAGCATGTGCTCAATAAATATTTGTGGACTGAAGGAGGTAAACTTTGCAAGGCTCATCGGAAGGTTTCTTCCTTTGTCTGTCCTAGCTAAGGGCATGTTAGCAGGACCTCAAAGATGCCAGGGCCTAAGAAGCAGAGAAGGGCATTGGAGACCCTCAGCCAGTATTTCCCAAATGAACTCAGGGCTGAGTAGATGCAATCAGTGCCTTTCGGGTTGACATTCACAGGCTGGAACAAGCTAGAGCCATCAGAGAATCAAGGCAAGGAGGGCAGGGGCTTCCATTCCTAGAGGGCCCCTCCCCACCCAAGGCCTGAAGACCCCAGGCCTGAGGAGCTGGGTAAGAGGCGAGGCAGGGAGTGGGACTGCGCCATTGTTTATTAGAAGTCGGATTCGGTGTGTGCTCTAGACAGATTACAGAATACCTGCGCCTTGAGAACAGGAAGTCCACGATTCATACAAAGTGCTCACTACAGGAAGTTGCTGTGTCAAAATCCAGGCAAGGACCCAACTCAGGGCAGCCCCTCTTCCCCCGCTGACCTCAACAAGGGCTGTGCTATGGTTTTTTATTTAATTATTTTTTATTTCTCTTTATTATTATTAATATTATTATTATTTGCTTTTGCTGTGGTCACTATTATTGGCAAAGTTCCTTCTTTTCTTTCCTGGACATGGGGTTCCTGTCTGTAAGATTCCACTCTGAGGCTGAAGGTGCCAAAAGCTGCTTGAGAAGTGGCCTTTGAACTCCGTCTGGGAGGATGGTGAGAAGAAGCAGGAGAAATCAATTCTTGGTTTAAAAAAAAATTAAAAAACAAAAGCCCCACAATCTACAGGTCATTTCTTACTCAGTCAGTGATCAAACTGCCCAAAAGAAAAACAAGAGGAGAAGCAGGCCAGTGGGCACTGGTCCTTCCTCCCAGGGCTGGGTGAGGAGGGTTGCCCCACCCCTCAAGGCTTTAGGGAAAGCTGAGGCTCCTTCCAGCCATAGGGGTGGGGAGGAGAAGGTGTGGAAGAAGAAAGGAGAGACAGAGAGAGAGCTCAGCGCCTTGAGGTAGACGCTTTCCCAACTCCAGGGCCACCTGCGGCCCCAGCGCAGCCCAGCTCCCACTGTCACTCCACGTCCAGAGATTCATAATAAAAAAAATCAAAAACAAAGCCCAAAACAAAATCCAAAAGGACAAGACTTAGGGGAAAGAAGGAAGGGAAGGAGGACAGGAAGGTAGAAGGACAGGTCTCTGGATGCATAATTCCCGAGCCACTGGGGGCCAGGGGGGAAGATTCCCCAGCGCCCCACCGCCCGCGTGGCGTTAGCTCGTCACGTAGTGTTTGGTGGATGGCTGCCCATACACCCTGTAGAAATCCTGGTGGCCAGGCTGCTGGGAGGCGTCGAGCCAGTCTCTGACGGCCAGGCCAGGAAGGGACTGGGGGACGGAGGGTGCAGGTGGGAGCGGGTGTGAGTATTCCTGCGAGGGCACTGTCCAGGGAAAATGGCCGGAGCGGGGGTAGGGCTGGTGGCCGCCATGGTTGGCCACGGAAGAACAGTAACAGTTGTCCACGGAACAGACGAGAATCTTGCGGCCGCCATACTGGGGGAGCATGGGCTGCTGGGCGGCGGAGCCATTGGGATACTGCGATGGGGGGAACACAGGACTTGAGTGCACTGGTTGGGCGCCGCCTGGCAGGGCCACCAAGTGCTGCGTGGAGCTGCAGGGCCCCAGGGGCTGCCCGGACTGGCCCTCGCCGCTGGCTGTGCCCGCTGCCCCATACTGGCTGCCCACAGGGCCCGACGATGTCTCTAGGAAGCTGGCCTCAGGGAAGGCCATCGAGTGCTTGCGCTTTTCCGCCCCAGAGCTGCTCACGCCACAAGGGTACAGGGGGACGCTCTGCAGGAAGGGCACCGGTGTGCTGAAGGGGCCTGTGGAGAGTTTGGGACAAAAGACAATGAAGTTCACATCCTCCTCACCCCTGGGGACCTTTCTCATCTATAGGACCAAGCACACTATGTCAGCATCACCTTGGTTGGTGCTCACTACTCCATTAGCAAGTAGATACTATTATTATTCCCATTTTACAGTGGGAGAAACTGAGGCTCAGGGAGGTAATATGGCTTGCCCAAAGTTCCACAGCTAGAAGTGGCAAAGCCAGGACATGAAGGAAGGTCCACCTAACTAGGCCATGCTGCCTCTCAGAGGGAAGGCTCTGGCATACACCCCTGCCCAAACGGATCGCTCCCTTCCATTGAAGACCCCACCCTCACCTTCTAGCATCTTCCGCAGCTGCTTCTCCTTCTTGGCCACCTCGTTCAGGAAGAGCTTGGAGTTCAGGTGGCCGATCTTAGGGGGAGAAAGGCTGTTGCCCGTGCAGGTCTGGGTCCTGGGGGCAGTGGACGGGGCATCTGCTGTGAGGAGGTGTCACCGGTGAGCCCGCCCTACCTCCCGCCGTGGGCCTGACCCTCCCAAGATGTGTTCCCCTGAGAGCTAGGAGCCTCCTGCTCACCTGTCCATGAGGATTTTCACAGATTTGGTGTTCTAAGGAGAGAGAAAAGGTTTAGTCAGTGGAAAAGGCAGCACGGGAGAGGGGAAGACAAGACCTGCCCCATCCTCACCCTCCCCAGGCCGGGCAGACCGTGGCTACAGTGTGGCTGGGTGGTGGTGGGATGGTGGCATTTGCTTTTTTAGAAGATAAAAATAGCTAACGTTTATTGAGCACTTACTATGTGACAGACAATATTGCACGTGTTTCTTATACATCCATCATTTTATCCACACAACTACCCTAGAAGGAAGGTTTGCAGGCACTCAAACCTCTTATTTGAAATCTTTGGGGCCAGATGTGGAATTATTTGGATTTCAGAAGGGAAATATAGTGCCTGTACCATATATTATATATCACCCCCCAGTAGGCACCACAATTCAATACATCAATGTTCCTATAGCAAAATGTTTGAATATGTGTACTAGGTGAGATAAATAAGGACCATACATTGCCAACATCAGTTCAGGTCAATTTTTGCAGTTAAATGAGTTGCCAGAAGTTTTTTCTTTGAGTATGCAGAGATTACTAAAATTTGGAATTGAGGATAAAGGAGATCAGATCTGTAATATCAACCTCATTTGATAGGTGAGGGAACTGAGGCATAAGGAACATATAGCACTTGCACAAGGTCACAAAGCTAGAAGGACAGGGTGGCTCCAAAGCCCTGTGGGCACACTGGTGGGGGAAACTGATTGGGGAATAAGAATCGCAGACTTGCCCGGCCGGTGTGGCTCAGTGGTTGAGTGTCAACCCATGAATTAAGAAGTCGCTTGTTCGATTCCTGGTCAGGGCACATGCCTGGGTTGCAGGCTTGATCCCCAGTGGGGAGTTTTCAGGGGGCAAATAATCAATGTTTCCCTCTCTTTATCCCTCTCCCTTCCTCTCTTTCTAAAATCAATTAAAAACAAAACCAAAAAAAAAAACCCAAAAAAACATGTTTTTTTTTTAAAAAAAAGCAAACATGTTTTTAAAAAAAGAATTGCAGACTCCACTTTAGGAATGCCCCTGGGTCCCACCACCAGTCCTGGGCCCAGCCCACCTTCATGAAGCTGACATCCTCTGTCTTGTCGAAGAGCAGCTGCAGGGAGCCCAGCAGCTTCTTGGCCTCCTGCATGCGTTCCCCAAGGTGCAGCGCCTGCGCTGCGTTCTCGCTGCAGAATTTGGCCTGGGCCTTGTCCAGAACCTCCACTGTCTGCCCCAGGTCCTCATCCAGCAGCTGGTGCAGCTTCTCATACTGCAGCCGCACTTCTTCCTTCAGTTGGCTCACCTTCTCCTGCAGGCACAGGGGGCAAGAGTGGGCAGGCAGGTGAGCACTGGGGACCACTGGCTGCCGCTTCTGCCTGTCTGACATCCTGGACGGTAGAGTCTGGGACCCCAAACCCCCAGACTGCCCAGGGTTCCTCAGGGCAAGGTTTGACCTGCTGGTAGCACAGGGCTCTGCGCCAGCTACCCCTGTAGGGCTCAGCAACTGACAGTTCAGGGAATGGCTGACCAAAGGGTTCTGGCACAGAGGCGACCACACACAGATCCTCACCCAAATAAGGACGAGCCCAAGGCCCGGCACCCAAGCAGCCCCCACCCCAACCATGAACTTGGGCTTAGCTACCTCCACCAGGCGCTTGTCTGACTCGAGTTTGTACAGCTGGTCCTCAATGTCCTGCTCTCGCTCCTCCAGTCGGTCCTGCTGCTTCATCAGCATCTTCTGCAGGGACAGTTGAGGCAGGGGCATCAGAAGGGGCTGCAGCTCCACCCCTTACCAAGGATGGGTGAGCACCAACCTCCCCTCTATAGAACAGACTCATCCTGTAGATCCTTTGACCCAGGTGACCTAAAATTTCTGCCACCCAACCTCTCTGGCCCTCGTGCAACCCCAGGGGCCTGGTTGGTGACCTCTGTCTGGCCAGTCTGTCCCCAGGAAAAGAAAGCCTGGGGCAGCTTCTCACACATGAGCTTTCTGAGGGCAGGGGCAGGCCAGTCTTGGTTCTAAGCACCCCGCCCCCACCTCAGATGAACCTTATCATTCCAGTAATGCTATGAGATAAGTACTATTATTATCCTCATTTCAGGGAAAAGGAAACCAGAGAGGTTAAGTAATTTATCCAAAGTACACAGTAAGTGGCAGAGCCGAGATACAAACTTAGGATCTGGCAGTAAGGTCTGTTCTTTTTATAAAATCTAATTAATTAATTTTTAAAAGAATAGTTTATTGATTTTGAGAGAGAGAGGAAGGGAGAAGAAACATTGCTGTGAAAGAGTAACATTGATGGGCTGCCTCCTATATGCTCCCCACAGGGGATCCAGCCCACCACCCAAGCATGTGCCCTGACCAGGAATAGAACCAGGAATCCAGTGCCCAGCTGATGCCCAACCAACTGAGCCACACCAGCCAGGGCTATTTTTTTAATGCTCATTCTAGTACATGCTTAGAGAGAAGAAAGGAGAAGAAGGGAAGAAGGGAGGGAGGCCATGCTGCCTAACTCAGGGAAGGAGGAAAGGAGAGAGAGAGGAACTGGGGATCAAACCCATATCCCAGGTATGTGCCCTGACCAGGAATCGAAACAGCAAACCCTTTGGTGCACTGGATGACACTCAACCAACTGAGCTACTCCGACAGGCAGTAAGGTCTGTTCTTATCCAAGGCGTGCTGCCTCTCTCTGGGAGCCCTAGCTTAGAGATGAGCACCCTAAGGTGCAGAGGGTCAAACAACCTTACACTTGGGAGCAGCAAGCCAGCCACCCCCACCCTTGTTCTTGACCCTGAGAGCCAGGCCTCTGAAGTCCTTGCTAACTGCCTCAGCCCCTCAGCTGGACCCAGGTGGAAAGGAGACACTGGCTCTCCTAAAACCTGAGGCCCGTCTGCTGGAAGGTGCTGGACCAAGCTACTATTTCAGCCCTTCACATCCTTTCTCTACAACCCCTATCCTCCCAGCCTTGCCCATCCCAGCTGCTCCATCCATCCTGTCATCCCCCTCACCAGCATACCTCTTCAAATAGGGTCTTGCTCCTGCTCAAGAACCCTCAATGACTCCCTCCTTCCAAACATTTTAGCACGGTAATGAAGGCTCTCTTAAGACCTGATAGTATCCTGCCCCCAACACTCTGTGCACATTTGAACTCTCTACACCCTGTTGATGGTTTTCTGTAGTCCACAGTGCCTCTTCCCTCTCCTTCTCTATCCTTCAAGACCCCACTCCTCTAGGAAACTTCTCATGGCCCCTGCTCAGCGTTTATGCAGGTCTCTCCCAGTCCTGGCCATGCAAAGGGGTTGTCACATTCTGCCTGCCCTCTATAGCTCTGCTGTGTAATATGGTGGCCACTCATCACATGTGACTATTTAAATTTAATTAAAAATAAGTGAAATTAAACATCAGTTCTTCAGTTGCACCAGCTTCAGTTTAAGTGCTCAATAGCTGCATGTAGCTACTGGCTAATGTACTGAATATTAAAGAGACAAAACAGCCATCATCCCAGAAAGATCTATAGGATACATTATTCTGTAATTTGTTTCATAAACTGTGGTTTGATCTCCCTACAAAACTCAAGGCCTCTTGAAAATAGGGCTTTGCTGCTATCTTTTTTCACCTCCCTTCTGAGCCAGGCCACACAAAGGCCCCAGCACCCTATGGATGCATAATATGTTTACTGAATAAACCCATGGGTTTTACACATAAAATAAGGTTTGCAAAGCGAATTGCACAGAGCCTTGCTCACAGTGAGTACATACTCAACAAGGAATGATTCTTTTTCTTCCTCTCTGTGGGCCTCAGAGTGACCCTCAAGTTTGATGCCATGACTCCCACTCCCATCCACACCCAGCTGGCTTCCCAACCTGCCACCAATCCCTTTCTCACTCCCCAACCCATTTTACATGGGAGGAAAGCAAGGCCAGTAAGGAGTTCAGGGACCCCCTTTTGTGTTGGTGGCTAACCAAAACACCAGGACCCTGAGAGGAGGAGGAGGTGGGGGCGAGGCTCTTAGCTAAGCTGGGAAGCCTGGGACAATCTCCCCGAAAAACTTAACCCTTCAATGACCCAGGACAGGACCTCTAAGAACCAGCCCTAGGAGACCTTGCCCTGCCCCCAGCACTTGTACTTCCAGCAAGCTCCCCACACCAGCCCAACAGGCACAGGTATCTGTTGCCGATCTGGGATTCAGCACCTGTTCAGAAACACGGCTGGGTGGGGGGCAGGAATAGAGGTAGGTAGTCATGGATCCTCCCCACCTGTGAAACGGCCCACAGTTGTGCGAAGAGGGCAGGCAGCACCTCACAGTATGGCCCAGATACATGCAAACAACTGCACACACACAAGCACACATACTGCTCTGGGGCCCTGCGAATACCTCATGCAGAGTGTTGTACCAGGTGCACAGGTACTTGCATCCAACCCCCTTTGGCTGAAGGCTGGACTTCCTGAAGGCCCCAGACAATTGAGGGAGGCTTGCCATAAAGGCAAGGTGGCCAGGACACCCTCTTAGGAACATAATGCCTTTTTACCTCCCTGTAGCAACTGGCCCTCAGATTTTTGCCCGCTGGATACCTTGTACCCACACTCAGGAAGACAGCTCCCCCAACCCCCCATGCATCTCAGACTTCAGGCCACTCTTGCCTTCCCAATGCCCTGCATAACTGAAAGCCCAGGTCCCATGCCCCACAACCCCATCACCAAGGACTCCCTGCTCAAACTCATCATCATCTGATTAGGGGTGCACCTGGGGCTGAGTCCCAAATGAGGGGTGGGAAAGGGGGGCCCCAGGTGGATTCCCAGCCTAGTTTCCCTCAGAGGATAGGAATGGAGCTGCTCTGCTCCCACCCTCCAGACCAGTGGGAGGCCCCTCCCTTGCCCCCCTGAAACCCTTTCTGGGAGTTCATGGCTGACCCCTCAGGGCAGAGCCAAGGGAGGTACCTCCTGTCCAGTCCTGGGGGGACTCAGCCCTTTCTCTCTTCTTGTAGGCTTTTCTCAGAGCCTTTCCTGGCAGCACTTCTACCCTGGGACCCTGCAGCATCTTCTCTTAGCTTCACCTGTCCCAGGTCCTGGTTCCTGCCTGCCCACAGCCCTCTGAGGTGGGAGCCCAGGCCAGGCCCAGTGAAGGCAGTGCCACACTCCCTAGTAGGTGGCTGGGTTTTTCATTTCCCCTCCCCCAGCTCAGAGGCCCTTGGGCTCCTGTCTTTGCTGCAGGGGTAGGGGAGGGGGTCCATGCTGGCCAGCTTACCTTTGCAGGGCGTGCCCTCCTTGGGGCCAGGTGATCTTAATCCTGCCACAGGTAACACCTGGGGGGATGCAGAGGGTTGGGGGACTACTGCCACCTCAGGCACTGGGAAATTGGGGAGACTTGTGCCCCTTTATTACCTCTCATCTCCGTTACACCAAATGCCTGAATCAGGTTGCTGAGAAGCTGGAGGATGGGGAACTGAGGAAGCAAGGCCTGGACCCCTCTCCACTACCACCAGCCTCCTTTCCATCTCAACCTCCAGGGAATTGCTGAGACCTGAGGCCCCATCGCCCACCAGGGAAAAAAGCCACAGCTGAGATCATCCCACCTTGATTCAGAGCAAGGGCTCTCCACGTGGGGTGCAGGGCACTTTATAAACTGCTCCCAGCCCACAGTAAGTCACCTGGACTGTGGCAGGAGGGGAGTGGAAAGGAGCAAAGTGGGGAACCATGGTCTAGACTAGAAGCACTTGAGGGACCAGGCCTCCTCCAGCAGGAGGGACAATATGAGCCCCAGCCCGCTCCACAGGCCCTGGTCCAGATGGGACCTGCTCACTCCTGTCCCTGTCCCTGAGGGCCTAAGGCCTCCCATGATCTGCTCCTGAATCTGTGAGGGCAAAAGCATCAAGAAGGCTTGTGAGCACTTCATTCCCATTTCTCCAAGGCCCCAGAACATCCTGCTTCTCACTCTTGTCACCTAGTGTTCTAGACTCTGGAGGGGGGGCAATCACAAGCCCCTTACATCCCTGCCCTGGGAAAGCCTCATGTCCCTGTAGAGCCTGACTGGCCAGGTCCAACTGGCATTTTTGGTGTCAGACTGGACTGGGCAGACGGGTGAGGCCATGGGGACTCTAGGCTGTATAAAAGTTAATAAATAATAATAAAACCCACAAGTCAACCTTGAAGAGAAGCAAGGTCAGGAGGGAACAGGGCCCCAGGGGCTGGGCCAGAAGCAGGCCTGAGGTTTTCAGACAAAGCCAGGGCTGGGTCTAACAGCCCCGGTGGTGGGAGGGAGGGGGCAGAAAGAGGGAGCTAAGCCACTCAGACCCCTGCCCAGATGACTCTCATGCTGGCTGCAGCTCTGGCTGCAACCCCTGCTCCAGAGCTACCCTATCCTGACCTCCTCCCCACTCTCCCACTTAAGACCTCATCCCAGGAATAGGTCAGCCTCCTCTCCCCCTGGGCCACAGCACTCTCCCCTTGTCTCAGAGCAGCTTCTGCCTGCCATAGATGCCCCTTTCGTGCCTTAGCTCCTGCCTGGGGCTACCTTGTGCATCCCCAGGCTGGGGCAACCATAGACCCAGAGAGAAGAGGTTACAGGGCAGAAGCCAGGGCAAGAAGAAAAGCAGCACCTGGGAGGCAGGCCCCGGCAGACCCCAGAGAGGGCTTCCCAGCTGCAGAGTCAAATTAGCTTTTGCCATGCAGAGAGCAGCGCTCTGGGGCAGCAGAACAAAGAGGCGAGAGAGAAAGCCCCCCTTTGTCTGGGTTTGAATGCCAGGCCAGCCGGGAAGGAAGGCTTTTCCAGAGCCAGGGATGAGGCTGCCTGCTCGATCCAGGCTAGGGGCCCCAACCAGGCTCACCTTCTTCCTGTGCCCACCCAGACTGCCCCCAATACAGCATCGCAGGATCCATCCAGGCTGCTACCTCTGATACTGCCACAAGCAATAAGCTCACCCTAAGGTGAATCCCATCTTCCCCTTCCCTCCCCAATTCCCACCCCACCAGGTGAGAAAAGTCGCACAAGACTCACAACCACCAACCACAGCCTGAGCAGGCAGTCACGCTAGCAGTCATGCTGACAGTCATGCACACACACTCAACTTCACCTCGCAGGTGTGCGGCATGCTTGTTCTCTCACTAACACACACACACACACACACAATCTTTCTGACCCCACATCACACATACATAACTACATAATGAAGTCAGTCACTCATCTCATACCTTCTGAGATACACACATGAGATACAAAAAATTCGTCACATGTGAGAGACACAGCCAGCATGCTGGCTACACACACCTGCAGACTGACATGGATGCACAGCTACCCAGAGTGCAGGAGGCAGAGGAATCAATAGGATGTGCATGATAGGCGCCCGGCTGTGTCAGCAGTATCCTGGGGAGGAGGTGTGTGTGGGAAAAGGGGAGCCCCTCTGCCTGCGGCCCTTGGAGCAAGGCCAAACCAGGCCCCCTTCTGTGTAAAACTCAGGATGGTCAAGGAAGGGGCACTTATGACCCTCCTGCCTTGAATACACACAGCCTCCCACCCCAGCTCCCACCCTGCCACAGGAGTTTGGTGGGGGAGGAGGCAGCAGTGGGCTGTGCACTGCCTGAGTGGGCTAGACCAGGACAACCCTCACTCCTACAGCCTACCTGACACAGACACATGGAGTGGAGACCCAGGATCCCACCCAACACCTCCAGCCAAAGGCAATGTGAGAGCCACTCCAAACCGGACCAAGCAGTGGGATCCCCTCCGTAAAGAACATCTCAACTCTAAACCTCCAAGAAAGCAAGGAACATTTCCAGCCTTGATCTGGAATCCTAGGAATGACACAGACATAACTATGACCTGAAAACACACACACACACACACACACACCTTGCATAGCCCCTCACACAAGATAACTAGGGCTTATCTTGAGTCATCTTTCCATGTTGAGGGGGGTTATGAGATAGAGGTGCTCATACCAGTACCATGTTCCTCAGAAGAACCCCTAAACCTAGGGGACGAAAGAGGATTTGAACACCAAGGCTGCCAGGCCTGAACCCACCTGAATGTCCTAATCTTAGGCCCTTAGGACATATTTAGGGTCTGGATATGTCCCAGAGAGTGGTCTCTGAGGCCCATGCAGTGAGCATCCAGGCCTCAGGGCAATGTGGCCTACACACCGGCTTCCCAAGTGTAGAATGGGGCCATGGACTTCACAGGCCTAACTCTGAGATCCCCTGCTAGTCCCCACCACTGAATGGAGGCCCTGTTTGCCTTCCCACTGGGCCCCTGCTCCAGGCCACTGGCCCATGCACATGTGAGTGCTTTTGAGTAAGCAAGTAGGGGCCACCAGGGAGAGGTTGATCAGGGTTTTCTATTTCTAGCCAAAAGGGCACTTCAGTAGCCACCCCCTCCCCTCTCCCAGGAGGACAGAAAAAGAAGAACAAGAAGCAGAGCTACATTTGAAGGCATGTGCTAAGTCCCCATGCTCCTGTTCCTATATCCGGGAGAATTCTGTTGCCCTCATCCATGGTACCAGAAGAGGTCCTTTAGGACTGATTCCCAAGGGAAAAGAGGCCCAGGAAAAGGCCCCTCCCCCCTGTGTCCCAGAGAGGATGGAGAATGAAATGGGTTCTTCCATTCAGGTTCTCCAAAGCTCCCTCCCTCCCCCTTGGTGGGACCCCCTGCCTCCTTCCTCCACATTCAATAAATCCAACTCATACTGAGTGGTGTTGGGCTATTGAAGGGTTTCCAACTCCAGTACCCTGGGGCACCGGAGAGAATCCTGAGGGCCTAGAGTGGGGGAGTTGGAGAGGGATGAATAGGAGGGGGATGAGACTCAGGCTGGGGGGCACAGATGCTGAGCAAATAGAATTGCACATCTGGCCCTGATGCAACCCACTACTTCTGAGTCCCTGCTCACGCTAGGGACAGGAACTAACACACACACACACACACACACACACACAGAGGCATGCACGCACGCACCCAGCTGCTGACAAAGTTCAGGGCCTGCTCCCATCCAGTTCCTCCCATGAGCTGGGGATCAGGGACCTGCCGGTGGGAACCTCAGGATGCACTCTGCATGCATGTGCCATCCCTCCCACACCCCAACTACACAACCAGGAGACAGGTGCATCTGAGGGCAAAGACACTTGCAAACCCACACATCTAGAGATACCCTCTTACTACCAAGTTAGGTACAATTATGTTTTCTCCCCGACCCAAATGAAAGAACCCCTAGCACAGACACAGCTAAGAGCAAAACCTTGGGAGGGGGCACACATACACTCACCACCCTGGTTGCTGCCCCCTCCCCTGTTCCTTTCAGCCCCTTCCCCTCTTCTCACTTTCCCCTGCCAATCCCAGGACTGAGAGTTGGACAGCCCCTTTCTCCTGCCTCTGCCCTTTCCCAGCCTCCTCTCCCAAGCCCTCCCATCTTTATTAACAGCAGTAGCTTCCCAATACTGAGGAAAACCCGGGCTGTTTGCCCTGGGGCTCATCTGCTTCCCCTAGGCTTCTGCCTTTTCTAACCCTAGTGGGGAGGGTGTGGAAATGGCTCCTCTCGCCACCCCCCACACTTCCTTTAAGAAACCAGAGGCCCTGTACTGGCACAAAAACCCAGAGCTCGCCCATCGGATTGGAAACTAATTATACAGCAAATTTTATTTGTTGTCCCTGCCCTCAGCTTGTGGCAGCCCTCTTGCCTTTTGTTAGTTGTCTGTGTATGTTTTTTAATGGCTAAACACTGACTCATTCTGACTGTCCCTCCAAAGGAAACAGCCCCCGTCTACAACCGTCCCCTGATTACTGCTTCCTCATACCCAAACTCCCCACTGGCCTCAACTAGCCTCCAGGGGCCCCCACCCAGAAACACTCCCAGTCCTACCAAAAGCCCAACCTCACCCCCAGGCCCCGAGCTTGGGCTTCTGAAATGGCTCATACAGTCGCAGGCCAACCCCCTTCCTCTGGTATGACTCAACTCTGAAAGCCAGGGGACCAGGGAGGGACTTAGGAGGAGCCCCCCTCCACCGGAGGGGACGGAAGTATTGCCTCAGTCCAGCTCCAAAGCCTGGCCCACAGGCCTGAGGGGGAAGGCGGTTTTGACATTGGCCGCTGCTGCAGGGTGTATACAATGGGAGGGGATGTGGTTCCGTAATCACTCAGCCGGCAGCCCAGGGGAGCCAGCTGCCTGAAACCAGATTGTAAGGCGGCTCAACCTTAAACCCACAGGATTCTTTTTCCGTCTTCCACTTCCCCTCCCCAAATGTGGGAGGGCTGTGATATAGGGCTGGGCTGGGAGCACAGGGCTCAGGGCGATGAAGACACATACTTTAAGGTTTGTTCATGCAGGAGCGTTCGACACACAGGGCTGCGATCCCCACACATGGAGAGTGGGCTCTCCGGAACAATCCCAACAGCCGAGACACTGTCCCCGATACTGCTGGCTGTCCGGGCCTTGCCCTCACAGATACGGGAGCGCTGCTCTCCCTCCGGAAGCTCCCCTCCACCCCCCAATGCGTTTCCAGTAGGGCTTGAAACTAACATGGCTGCTTTTGTTTACTTCCTCATTGGTATGCCAACATCATGGATCATGTCAGCCGCAGCAGCGGCACCAGGACACTCATTACATAAACAGCAGCTGGAGATGCAGAACCTGGGTCACTGCCTTGGTGACTTCCTGCAGGGCCTTACAGAAACCAGGCTGGGGGAGGGGGCTGTGCGGGAAGACGGAAAAGCAGCACCCAAACTCCAACAGCCCCGCACCTCAGCTCCACAAATGACTCGCAAGATGGGCTCTCTGAGCACAGGTGCAGAAATGGATTAAGTAGCCATGGGATCCTTCTTCCCAGAACCTGCCCCCAAACTTTCAGAGTATTCGAGTCTGGAAGGGAGCCTCTGGCCTGAGGTCACGGAAGTCAGCCTGCCTGGATGGGTGGTCCCCGGGCGGTGGGGAGTGTGTGTGTGTGTGTGTGTGTGTGTGTGTAGGATACTTGCCCGGATCTCATTCCTCCGGATCTCCACGTCGCACACCGAGTGTCCCTGATGCGCACCGCTGTAGTAGCAGCAATATTGGCACACGGCCACCTGCTCGGCCTCGCAGTGGTAGAGGCGGTAGGCGTTGTGCTGCGGGCAGCTCCAGGCCCGCACGTCGTCCGCCTCCACCAGGAGGTGCCCGCGGGCGGTGGAGGGCTGCTGCAGGTGCGTCTGCACGTGGGACTGGCAGCAGGGCGCCTCGCAGCGCAGGCAGACCTTCTGTGCGGGCAGCGGGGGGCCGCGGCGGCAGAACACGCAGTGCAGCGCCGTGGGCGGCTTCTCCACGTGCAGGGCGTTGAACTTCTCCACGATGTTGGTGAGCTTCAGGTTCTTCTCCAGGCCCGGCTTCTGGTTGTAGGCCTGGTTGCACTCCGGGCAGCGCACCAGGCCGCTGTCCTTGGCCCACGCCTCGCCGATGCATCCCCGGCAGAAGTTGTGTTTGCACGGCAATTGCACCGGCTCCACGAAGACGTGCAGGCAGATGGGACAGATGAGTTCCTCCTCGAAGCAGTTCTTCCAATTCTCCGCCATGGCGGCTGCGGGCAGGGGGGCCCGGGCAGGCCTTCCCAACTCCCCAACCCTGGGG